TTTCATGTATATGTAAAAGATTTTACCTATTAAAATTTCATGTTCAGTATGCATAGCTTTTTTCTTCTACCACCTATACCATGACTCGATGTGAACAATTAGGAAGCTTCCTGAAGCAGGGGCTACTAGTGGTCATGGGGCAGGAACAGACACAGCTGTGAAATCCTGACCTCCAAACCTGGCTCAAACATCAGCTTGGTCTGGAGCTTATGCAAGATATGTACACTTTCTCCCACTGGGAAAGCACTGATAATTACAGGCACTCTGACTGCATCCTGATTTCACTAAGGCTTAGTCAATTATGCAGGCATTGCTGCTAAAACATAAGACGAATTGATAGATCCAAAGCACACAGAGGTTACCGTGTCTAGATAGGAAAGCCACAGAATCCTCTTTGAACACTCTGCGCTCCTGAGAGTTTGTAATTGTTGCCAGTTTTTGCCTAAAGACATGCTCAAAGGCCCCACCACCTTGGTTAGATTACTGATGTCAGCATCTCACAGAGAGACAGTTGCATTTGGGATTCACAAAGAAGACAGAGCAGCAAACACAGCTCCTTGAGGGAGGCTCTGAGCAAACCTGACACAGGGAGACAGTGCCACAGCCATCACAAATCACAGCTCACCATTTCCAAGAACAGCAAAGCCCAGAGAAGAATGCCTTGACTTCACAGCATGCTGCAGGAGGGTTTGCTTATCTGAGCTTCCAAATTGTTATGTCCACACTAGCAGGTATCAGTGATCAGGTGATAGAGCCAGACAGGCTGGATGTGGATGTGAGCACATGTTGTGAGATGGAGGAAATGGCTGGGGAATGAGGTGAGAATTTCATGGCGTGTGTCAGGAAGGCAGTGGGAACACCATGTGAAAAGTAGTGGGATGTTTCTGGGGTACAGCAGGAAGATGGGTGAGAAGTGAATGGAGGCACACTGAATTAACAGGCTCGCAGCATTCACTGTGATTACTGTGAGTGCCTGAGCAAGCCTTTGCTAATGGCACTTGCAGCCACTGACACTCTGCCAACTGCATCCAGACAAAATACATTTGGAAAGACCAAACCCAGTGATTACAGCAGTCAGCAGAAACTACACTGATTGCACTTCCTCCTCAGCCCCAGGGAATGCAAACTCACAGCTTTTGGCACCAAGGTGACACACATGGCTAAGTCCTAATGACGCTGTGCTGCCATGCAAAAAAGATGGCTAGACTGATGGGGCTGGGAGCAGGGCTGTTCCTGGGGAGGATACCTGGAAGCCTGGAGCCCAGATCCTTGCTCCAAGCAATGGGCAGGTCTGTGAACTTCACCAGTGCCAAACGTGTAAACAACAAAGGCTGGAAACAGAACCAGGAACTTCCCCACCCTGCTGCTCTCCCTTCTCTCTCTCTCAGAGACAACACCTTGCACCTTCTTTCTCCACCAAGCCTCAGCTCCAAGAGGAGTGTCACACAGCCACTCTTAGATGGATCGTACAAGAAACCAAAAAAATACATTTGAGCTTTACACTGTTTGCAGTGAGAAATCAGAGCTATTCACTGGATTGAGCTGAGACATATATATATAAAATATATATATATATATTTTACAGGAGGGATTCCTGACTCCACAGTAATCCCAGGTAATCCCAGGAGAAAAATTAACTAGATGAGCATGGAATCACAATAGTTCTGCTGTGTCCTCACAATAACTGTTTTCCAATTCAATAAATTCAGCTAAAGGTGTTTGCTTCTCAGACAAGACTGTTCCAGCTTCATTTGTAGTATTTGGAGAGGGATTAGTCACCTAAAGCATTTGTTTTCACACCATGGTGTACAGAACACACATGAGGAAAATAATTTTGAGCCCCAGTGCAATGTTTATAGACAACACACTCAAGAATAGAGAGAAAAAATGTTTTGGTGATGATTCTTCACCAGGTGCACCCGCTGAAGAGCCTACACCAAATCTCTAAAACTGGGCAGTACAGGGAGAACTATGCTCAAATGAAATGTCTGCTTTTATAAACCCTCTCACAGATAGCTCTGCCCTCACCCTTAACTTGCATTTCCTATTTGTTCCATTCCCTAGTTTATAACCTAAAGACATATACAGTTTTTTCTCTTCAAAGCACATTTATTTGCCCTACAAATGGACCAAAAATATGAAAAGACTGATTTTTATTATGTCACCTACAAAAACACCTTGATTTCCTTAACTCTAACCAGGACAAAATAGTATTTTCTTTTTATTGCATTCCTGGGGAAGTCATGTCTTAACTTGGATCTTATTTATCTGTTATTTATCTACATATTTTCTTTCAAACTCTCAGCCAGGAACAGAGCTTCCAGCTTTGCTTCTCTGGCATTATTAGTACTCACTCTGAAAAGTCCAATTTTTCTCACTCACAGATGACACTGTCATTGCAGAGGAGTGAAAATGCTTCCATATATTAAAAATAAGACTGCCTCATGGAGATACCATCTTCTTAAAGAAAGTATAGATATGAATCAAAAAAGAAGATGTCAAACATCATGCCGTATTCAGGTAAAGTGCCATCTTAATGTTTATTTTAAATCTCTTGTCAGAAAGGAAAGCACTAATGTGAAATGCTTCACACAGCCTTTGACACTTACAGAACTCTTAAAATTGTAATGAGTCAAAGATCAACAAACCTCTAAGAATGAAAACAACTGGAAATGCTTTAGAAGTGGAGCCACCAAAACTTTTTAATTTATTAAATACCCACTGGTATTGCATATGCATTGAACATTAAGACATATTTGACATTTCCTGATCTACTAATTTCATGGCCAAAAAGAGGAAAATCCTGCTTGTATTATGGAACTTTACTGCCACTGAATCAATCAAAATTTTGCCACCACATGAAGGTAGGTGCTCATTTTAAATACAGACATTTAATTTAAAAGAAAAATGAAGAAACCTGTCATTTAAACCCCATCATTTTCCTCTTGTTTCAGCTTTGGTACTCTTCTAGGGTTTTTTTAATTCCTGTTGCCAAACTGAAATAGAAATGCTTTAAGGAGATAAATGAACAGAAATGGAATTATTCTGAGTCAGGTTTCACAATTAGCATTTCATCCCCATGTGTCCATGTGTAGAAGTTGTCCATTCCAATCCCCTCCCCTCCCAGCCACTAGTGAGATCATACAGATGGTTACTGCAAAGCTGGAAGGAGATACATCTGAGTGCATATTTATCCACTTGGCAATATCCTGCTACAGCTGTGAGAGGATGCAAATCTGCATTACAGTGCTGCTTCAGGCTCTCTGGCCTGTGTGAGGAAGCACCCAGGATACCAATGGTGCTGCTGAGGACAATGCCAGGCACATATGACATGAAGGGACACGGCTAAGCTGGGCTGTGGCAGCTCTGTTAACTTCCACCTCTGGAAACAAACCCTCATTTGGGAACCTGACACAAGTGTCTATCTACACCTACATCAAAACTCGCTTTCATCTGTTTGTTTTTGGGAGGCAACACTGATAACACACAGCTCTGCCAGATGACATGGTCAAAGAATACTGTGTGGGTGAGCATTTGATACAAACACCAGAAAATAAAACCAAACTGAGGGGCTTTATTTCATCCTAAGAAAAGCTTTAATGGCTCCATGTGACACTGCCAGTCAGTGATAGCTACTCCTGTTCTGGGTATGTCTTTGTTCTGGCAGCTGGAACAGTTTTCATGTGTAACAAAAGAAATATGCTTAATAGGCAACACCTGAAAATCCTTCGATAGAATAAACTATAGCAATAAAAAATGCAAGTTTAAAAAGCGCTTCCTGGGTAAAAAAAACCCCAAAAACATAGGTAGCACTGGAATCTTCTCTTTATCTCAGGTCAATTGACTTGTCATGGATGGAAGGAGATTTGAAAAGGAAATTGCAAGTTCTTAGCAAGTATGATTGGAGGAATAGAGTTAATAGCCAGCAATCAGTATAGGCTGGGTAGGATACTTAACAATTTAAATGTATGCATATGCCACAACTGCAGAATGTCTGGGCTTTGTCTTGTTCTTAAAAAATTAATGGAATAACAGGCAATTTCAATCTCAAACCAAAATGGTAATTTTATACTTAGGTTGCTGGGATCTAAGAATACTTCCATTAAACATTTCCCTGATCTTGGTATGTGATTGAGGCATGTAAATGGTATGTGCCTCTAATCCTGCTTTACACTGGAAATCTTTCCAGTACTAACAGGACAGTATGTGCTTTCAGATGATACACTTTCTGTCGTGTGGAAAGATGTCTCTCCTATCATCATGTTGGAAGCAAATAAATGATTTTTGAACTCCACTTTTCACTGCCATTTCTGTAAGACATTTGGGCTCACTTTCTCTTAGCTTACTATCAGCTTACTATATCATAAGGATAGTTTTATGATTTGAGAAGCTGCTTTAGCCATACTCTTGAATAGCTGTGCACTGTATTCAGCAAGCTACAGATACAAATGAGTACAACACCTCTAATGCAAAAACAGATTTATTCAAGACAGGGGGATAAGCCATTATCTCTCTACAGAAATGTGTCAATAACTCCAAACCCTTTTTATCCTTTCTGATAGAATGCACAACTTTTCTGTGTGTGTTATTTTCAACAGAATTACAAAAATCTCACCAAGACTACCTGTACTTTCTCTTTCCAACCAAAGGCAGATATTACAGGTTGCAGAAATTTGTTGGTGGATAAAAAGGTAGGGAAATTATAGGCCAGTGATAAGTATAATGAATTTCATTTCCACAAGCTTCTAATTCTTCTGAGGAAGAGAAGAACACAGGTTTTGCCTAGGCCTCTTTAACAAACAAATGCATACCCTGCAATAAAGTACTAGGAGATGAGAGGTTACATTCCAAGCTAAATGCAAACTAGTCCTTGCCTGTGAGGCAAGGGAAGGACACATCCTGGAAAGCACAGCACAGCCAGAGATGACCACACGCTCAAGAGACAAGAAGTTTTGGATTAGTTGATTCTTGTGTTGTTTGGGAAAACTTTTCATACTTACTGTAATTCTCTCATCTTTGTCATCTAGAGGGGTCCCATCTTTCTTCCATGATATAGTGGGCTCTGGGTGACCTCTTGGGGGCTGGCATTCCATCACTGCAGGTTCCCCCACAGCCACCATGACATCTGATGGATTTTGTCTGAAGTCATCCCGTAGAACTGAAAGAATAAAGTAAATGAAGCAAAAAATTACTCAATAATATACTAACAGTGCAACAAAGTGTTTTGTATTGGCCTTTAATGGTGCCTGTTGTCACACTTTTTACAAGAGCATGTTGTGAGAGAACTAGAGGTAATGGCTTTGACCTGAAAGAGGGCAGGTTTAGATTAGATATTAGGAAGAAATTCTTTACTGTGCAGCTGGCAAGGCCCTGGCATGGACTGCACAGACTGGCAGCTTATCTGCCTTACCCCTGGAAGAGTTCAAGGCCAGGCTGGATGGAGCTCTGAGCAACCTGGTCTAGTGGAAGGTGTCCCTCCCCATGGCAGGGGGTTGGAATGAGATGATCTCTAAAGCCCTTTCCAAAAAAAAACATTCCATGATTCCTTTCACAGTTGAAGATGGCACAGTATCTTATGCTCAGGTAGAATGTGACTTGAGGGGAAGCACTGCAAAGGTTGCTTTCTGTCCTTTTTTTCCTGAGACACAAGGTCAATCTGCCAGAAACTCAGAGTTTTACAGTTAAAGGTTGGCCACTGGCCATACAAATTGTACCCATCCCTGAATTTAGGGCAAAAATTAATGAACTAAAGAAGCTTCCCAGTTCTTTGATGACATTACACATCACTAAAGATATTTGCAATTTGCCTTGTGTCTTTTTAAAGAAAATAATATTAAAAAATCTTTCCTGATCTCTGGTAGCTGTCATTTAGCCTAAACCTGGACTACATCCTTTATTTAGAAGTCAATTTTACCACCTCTGCACACAGAGAAACATTTTTATTGTTGCTTTTTACTAGAATTTGTTCTTTCTCATCATTTGGCCAACTCTAGTTTCCGCCAGTCATCCACTATGGATTTTATCAATAGCTCTGAGATTATTTTTCTTTCTGGGAAAGGACAAACATCATCCTGTGCTCAACAGACTAGACAGGGACATGGTTTAACAGAATAATGGCGTTCCTAAGCCTTGCCAAGTAAGTGGCATTAGGTTTAATCTAAAAATAAATAACTCGAATGATAGCAAACATCTTTTCCAGTGTTCCTTCTCCATCCACACTGAACAAAGGACAGGGTAATGGAAAAGCACAGTATGACCAAAGGAGTCTCAGGATTTTCACAGAGCTGTATGTCACTCTTGTTACCTGCAACAATCTTGTGTCAACAGTAAATAATGCCAAGAAACTGCAGCAAAAAATATGTATATCCTCCAAGCCATGTACCCCAGATACATGGACATTCACTACTGAACAGGAGTTTGGCTGTTAATGCTGCTTCAAGGGGAGGTGAGATTTATTGTCAGCTGTTAAGGAATGTGGCTCTTACAGATTGGCAGGCACAGTGCTACCACCAAGCCATCCTTCACTCTAAGGTCTTTCATACTGGTGAGACTTTCTAAAATGGTCTGAGGGCAAATGGGTCACCTGCTTTGGGAAAGAGGGATATGCACCTTCCTCACACTTGCTTTTATTATAATATAATAAACAACTGGGAAAGTTCCACATTGATTCAGAAATGTGGCAGGAATCAAAACCAATAAAGAATATTTTACAACTATTCTAGATAAAGGACATAAATTCCAGAAATAACAAAGAATATCTGTGTGTCAAAAATTGATTTAAATATAGTACAGATCTCACCAAACATCTGAATTTACTAATCCCCTTCCACACTGAAGGAATCACATCGCTAATATTTCAGTTCAATTACTGAAATTTCTGGATGCCCTGGAAACAGGATATATTGATGTTCTGAAAGAGTACAGTCAAGGCTAAAATGTCTCTATCACATTAACAATACAAACTATTAGAACAGAATTATAGGGCTTAAAGAAGATAGTATTGAGTAATTTAGATTGGAAGAAGCCCCTGGAGGTCATCAGGGCTACAGTGAGATGCTTTTGAATGACCATGTTCTCTTGGACACATTAGGTATCTTCAACAGATCTAGTCTACAGAGTTTGTTAACAAAAACAACCCAAAGACCAACACAACAAATAAAACAAATACCTATTTCTTAGTGTACAAAAGCCTGAGAAAGAATGCTTCAGCTAAGATCAAAGAATTTCTCTCCCCAAAAGATAAGACTCATGGATATTTTCCTTACGTGAATTTGGGAAAACTTGAAAATATTTTCAGCTCTAACATCCTGTTTTTAAAAAGGGGAATGATGTCATTTTTAGTTATTCAGAAAGTTAAGTCAAAAGATCAATCCTTTAAATTCACTTCTGCTTTCAACAAAACTTTATTAAGTTCAACCCATATTCTCTTACATCTTCCTTACTATATTAACTTTTATACTGATGCACCAAAATTGCACTTCAAATTAATTTTTGGTTTTGGAAGTATTACAACACTACTCACACACACTGAAAACGTTACATATCCTTGTTCTGCTTATACTGAACTTGGTGTTAACAGCCAAAGACAATTTCTTGTGTTCCCAAGAAACCCTCAAGCCACCCAGACACATGGATCACTATAAATCACGTAGTGCAAATGGACAGCTGGACACTGCTTCTACTGAGAATTTTTTTTTCTCTTTAATACTTTAAGAGACATAATCTGGCTTGGAGCCACTGATCATATTATTACTTTTTTTCCCACCCTCCACTTCTTCAAGTTAAAGAACATTAAAGAAGAAGACGGAGAAGTTGCCCTAAGTTACTAACCCCTCCCTCCCACAGATCCAGTTCCCAGTGCCAACAGCACATGAAAGTGCAGGAGAGTTTATTTGCTATGCCACAGTTCTATTGCAACACAAAAAAGAGGTATTTTGACCATGAGTAAGAAGCCTCTTATTACTGCTGAAGATTGTATCACTTGGATAAATTTAAGAGACATATAAAAAAAGCAGCCTGAAGTTTTAAAAAAATTTAAATCAAGTGATCTTAATAAAGCATAAGTGCTTTTCAAGTCTGAAAGACCTCATAAATCTAAGAGAAAGGACTATCAGATAGCACCTCAGATGGCTTTAGCACCAAAGAAGCAACAAAGAAGTCCAGTACTTACATAATAAAACCAAATTACTTCTTTAATTTCTACACTCCTTAGTCTTATAATAGCTTGACAAGCATAGTACCTTGCCTGCAAAGCAAGACCTTTCACAAATTAACCAGTTCTTAATAGAATCCCTAGGAGGACATCAAAGGTCCAGGCCACAGATACTTCAAAACAAGTATTTTTTTCCCCATTTACTATGAATTATTTTGGCTCTAACATCACATAATGAAATGATAACAAAATGTAATCCATTAGAGATTACTCCACAGATAGCCATCGTAATTATTTTTGCAGCTGTAAAGTGGATACATGCTCTGTTTTGTTTGCCTCAGGCCCTGGCAATCTTGCATGAAGTTATAAATCTAAAAATTTCATCCCCTACTGAAAAAAACACTAACTTTTTCTTTGCTGTTCTTCATAGTCAAGGATCACTGTAAATTGAGAAAACATTTCCTTTTTAAGTTATATTAGAAGTATACTTTGTAGTCGACTACAGCAAATGCTATTTTCATCAAATGGTGAAATTTCACCTCTTTCTACATATATGCAGCCGGAATGAAAAAAAATATATAAAGAGGACATTTGGTTTTTTTTGCCTTTTTAAAAATAATATTCATAGATATAACACTTTCCTCCCTATTTCTGCCTGGTCTTGGTTAAGGTTTTCTAGCTTTTTACCTAGTATTTTCTGAAATCAAATGAAGGATGATTGTAACCATCATCGCAGCACAACTCCGTGATCTTCCTGTGTGGATGTGCTGAACTATTTAGGTTCAAAAGCAACTTTTGTAGCTCCACTTAAAAGTCAGCTGCTCACACAGCTACTTCATAGTGTGTACTCTTCAATCCTCTAAAGAGTTTTACTTTCCCCAGAGACTCTTTCTCAGGGAAGAAGGGAACTGGCAAGCATTTGAGGATAAATTTTTATCGATAAGCAACATAAATTTTTATTGATAATCAGAGATGCACCAAATGATGATGATAAGCAGATGATAAGCAGCAACATAGTGCTTTGGAAAATGCAGCACCCAGTGCTTTTTTCCTAAGTTCTTTGTTGCCTGCTATGAAAAAGAGTAGGGAGACACTAAGACACTACAGGGTGAAACGGGAGAAAGATAGGTAGGATTTTTTTGCCTATATAAATTGTAGGTAATTCAGAAAGACTACTGTTGCATTTTAGGTTTAAATAACTGATTTGAAAGGGATATGTTAAATGCAAGAGAAAATAAACCAACCAGAAAGTTCTAGTCAATACTTAAAAAGAATGAATTTGTAAGGAGCACACTGATTACCATCAGGCATTGTGGATATCGTGCCTTAACAGGTGGTATCATTTAAGATCTGGAAATCTGAAAATTTCCTGCAAATTTTGATTACAGGTCCAGACACTTCATGCTAGATCAGTTCAAAGCAGTGCACCAGAATATATCTGGCATCCCTAATCAACCAAGATTGTACAGCCACAGTCACCCAGGGAACAGAGGAAGATGGAAATGATGATGCTTGTGCTGCAAATTTCTAAATCAGACCAAGGCCATTTTAATCCATTTTAATTCTTATAAAAAGGCATCATTCAGACTTGCTTCCCATTAACTCTTGCACCATCCCACACAAAACACAGTATTTTTCAAATCTGCTTCTTAAAGGCAGGCTGGTGACCCAAAGTATGGCACAATTATTTAACAGAAGATATCCCAACAAGCTCCACTCTTTCCGCATGAAGATTACTCGATTCTTTCTTTGAATACAAGCATGTGCTGCAAAAATGGTGGAAAAAGAATGTGAAATAAACACAAGAAATGATCATCACTTTTCTTTGAAAACCATCTAGGCCTCAGCTAATGAGCAAGTTTCCAATAGCAAACAAAACCCTCCTCCCATCAATCTAAATACAACCTTAGTGGTCCACTGCCCTGTCTTTTGGCCAATTTTGTTGAAAGTTGTGATAGATTTTAAATCATTTTAAATATCCACCAATTCTATTATTTTCATTCCTT